AAATGCCAGGTAGCAAGACAAGCACACCAACTACCTTTTCTTTCCTGATGAAATCCTAGACAAGGGACCCACGTTTTCATTGGCTAAAAAAACAAAGGGCAAAACAGTAAAAAAAAAAAGTAAGGGCAAGAGAGAGAGAAGTGGGGGGCAGTGGACTTTTGATCACTGTTTATAGAAAAAAAGTGGGGGAGGGCAGGGAAGGGGAGGGGTTGCCCCTGCTGGAGACAGCTGCGCCCTTACTAAGGGATAAAACGGCGACGGTAGCTGCGTATCTGTACGGATTGCCAGCTGTCTTCCACTACCTCCAGCTGTGATCTAACTTTACCGCTTACCATCCCTCCTCTGCTTTACCACACATTTTTTTAATAAAATTTTTTTTACAATTTAAATCATTTTAAATTGTAAACTCTGCTTTACCTCACATTTTTTATATTTTTTTAATAAAAAAGATTTTACAATTTAAATTATTTTAATTTATAAATTTCTTTTTCAATACTTAGTAGTAATATACTATTTTATCTATATTAAATTTTAGAGTTAAGTGATTTATCTTTAAATTTTAAATGTTTGAATTTAATTGATTAAAAATTTAATATTTATTGATCTCTTGAAAATTTTTCTCATTCCATAAATTCTCAATGTACCAAAAAAATATACATACTATTTTACCTGCTGTTATTTATTATTTATTTTTTCACAGCAACAGCTAATAAAATGCTGTCAACCAATCACATAAAAAATAATCGGCGATTTAAAATTTAAATAAAAAATATTTTATAATCTAAATTATAAAATATAAATAGTTAAATAAAAAATCAACTTTTAATATTAAAAATATTTTTTATTTAAAATTTTTTATTTTATAATTTAATATAATACAAACTATCCAATAACAAATTTAAATTCAAACATACTCATGTTATTAGTGTCGTATTTTATTTTTGTCATTAATATTAATATTAAAGTAAAAAACCTTAAATTTAGAGATTTTTGTACGGTACAACTTATATTGAAATAAAATATGCCTATTTTTTTTATTAATAGGTAGCTAATCATAATAATATAGTTTATGCAAAATTAGCTCTTGGATGTGAATTTCCATTTTCATTATTTTCGAAAACGAAACTCAAAGTATAATAGGGTGATAATAAATTATCTTTTGTTCTATAACACTTAATAAAAATAAATATATAAATAAACAACTTTTCATATGCTAAACCCCAAATATAAGTGTATAATAAGAGAAATGAAATTTGTTTTTATTGATACATGGCCAAGTTAGATATTTAATGGGATTATAAAATTTGACATCCTATCCACATTTGAATTATTGAAACACTTTTTAATCATGGAAGGTCTCTGTTATTGAAATTAACTTAATTTATTTAGTTTTTTTTTTTTATGCATCAAGTTGATCATATTAAAAAAAAAAAAAGATTTTGTAATCAAAATTTGTAATTAATAAACATTTTTTGAACTAACTCAATAATTTCTTATTATGTACTCATCGAAATTGTTATGTCTTCCAAGACTCGTGGAATTAAAATTTCGGTGGGAAAAAAAAATTAGAAAGAAGAGTTTTTTTTTTTTTTTTTTCTTTTTCAGTTCTTTTCTTTTAAAAATTAAAAAAAAAAAAAACCTGCTATTGATTGAGGCCCGCGTCACGTGTTGGCTTGGGCCATTGACTTGAGTGAGCCGGAACCCAGGAGCCGAGAGTGTTAGATTTATCGTACAATTTCTCTTCACTTGCGACTCACGATATTATAGAATTTACACTTTATTTGAATAGAGAAAATTGAAAAAAAGAGAAAAAATAAAGTGAGGAAGAGAGCACTTTCTTTTTTTTTTGAACATATTTTGCAAGAGTAGGTTTTGAACCCTGCTAGGAGAGGGGGAATACACCGTTGCTATGCCAGTAGGTCTCAAAGACTAAGTGCGAGGAAGAGAGCACTTTTTCCTCTTTGAATAGATAATTTAAATGAAATAGAGAAAGATGAAGGGAGACGGAATCTCTTTTCCTTCTCTATTTTTAATCCCTTCAAATAAAAAGGATTAGGAAGGATTACTTATTTAATTTATTTTTATTTTTAATTTTTTTAAAATAA